TGCTGAATCATCAATGCTTTTATATATATATTATTCCAATTTTCCTTCTTAATTAACTACTTTTAGATGCTTCTTCTTTTGTTTTTGTATTGATTTATAATTACACTCATTTAATAAACAAATAAAGTTTGGACAAATCTATTGATTTTAAAGACATTAAAAGATGATTTGCCTCCACCAAATATATGAAAAAAAAAATTAATTATAAAACCAATCCTAACCACATACAACCACGTTTATATTTTTTACTTTCACTGTTTAGACATCTTTAAATTTTGCAGGCTCTGTGTGTGTATGTCCATTGGTGGTTGGGCTATTGGGTTAAAAGAGGCCCATAATTTTAATAACAAATGGGCCTTCATGGGTTAAAAGAAGACGAGAAAGCTTTCATTTCAGGCTGTGTTGGCCCTAATACATTTTATGCACAATCCCTAACAGTGTAAAAACCTCTGTATCTTTACGAATCATATTATAGTGATGGGCCGCTAGGATGTGTGAATTTTGCATTGAAACTTTGAAATTTCTAAATAAGAAGTGCTTAACCGTGAGGTTTAAGGGGTTCTAATAAAATACTATATGTCAAAACTTTAAAAACCTTTCAAATTGGAGAAAAATTAAATAGTATATTGTTAAGTGTTTTAATAAGACTATGTTAATATTCCACAGTTCACTTCTTGTTGAATTAAACATTTTACAAAATGTTTTTCCCACAACTGAACCGACGACATTGAACGCTTGTCGTTTCACCTATTATGCCTAATTACTTCCCCTAACCAAACAAATCACACGCAATCTCATCCGTCCGTTACCAAACCCTAAAATCAAATCCTGCCGTCCGATATATCTCCTCTAATCCATATAACCCATCCCTATAACTCGCAAACCCCTTTAAGAATTAGGGTCTGCAGAGTTTGCACAGGAGCCAGCCACCTTGCTCACTCACTGAGATCTAATCTCTGCAACTCAACAAAACAAACAACATGGCAACTCAAATCAGCAAGAAGCGAAAGGTCAGTTCCTCGATTCCATTTCATTTTTGTGTTTCTTTGAAAAAAAAAAAAAAAAAAAAACTACTAATTAAATACGAAGATTGACTGGTGTGTGTTTTGATTTATAGTTTGTGGCCGATGGAGTATTTTTCGCCGAGTTGAACGAGGTATTGACTAGAGAGCTGGCAGAGGACGGCTACTCTGGTGTAGAGGTCAGGGTAACTCCCATGCGCACCGAGATCATCATCCGAGCCACTCGCACCCAGAACGTTCTCGGTGCGTTTCACAATGTTTTTCATTTTTTGAATGTGTGAATTATTGATTTGGATTTGATAATAATCCGGCTTTTTTTTTTTTTAATAGGTGAGAAAGGAAGGAGGATTAGAGAGCTTACCTCAGTGGTGCAGAAGCGTTTTAAGTTCCCAGAGAACAGCGTGGAGCTTTACGCTGAGAAAGTCAACAACAGAGGACTCTGTGCTATTGCACAGGCCGAGTCTCTCCGCTACAAGCTCCTTGGTGGCCTTGCTGTTCGCAGGTAATGAAGAAATTTATTGTATATCATTTAATTTATGTTAGACGAGGAATCCTAGTTTAGAAGTGAAACATCAAAACTTATACCTGGACCTCTTGTCGGAATCTTTTGCCCAATGTGTTAATTGTAATCTTGTCATCTATAAAGCAGAGTGGTGTTTCCATGCCAACTCTGTGTCGGAAGATGACTAGATTGATTAATATTCTCCACACCATTATTCTTGTGAGATATGATCCTGTTATTCACATAGTAACTGAAGGAGAGTACATGTCTTTTATTGATTTATTAGTTTCTGGAACCTTGACCTGAACCGTATTAAGTCATCTATAAAGCAAACAGGTTACTTCTATACCAGTTTGTGTCGGAAGGTGACAAAATTGCGGTGCTTCCCCAATTCTCTACTTTTGCCAATGTAATGATACAAACTTACATTTGTAGAATTTGGGTAGCCACATGATGGATAACTTTTTATTTCAATGTCTTAAAAGTATGCTGTGTTATGCAAGTAGTATGTCCATCCAAAGGGTGTTAGGTATTAACAGCTATGTTCATTTAAATGTAATTTTTTCCTAATTGAGACTCAAACCTGAAATGAGAATGATATGGAAAAGTTATAATCTGAATTCAAAGTATTAATTGTAGCCATGGAAATAGAGTTGGAACGGCGGCGCCATTCCTTTCCAATTTTGACGTGAATTATTTTGAAGATTTTTGGATAAATTTTTTCATGTAATCAGCTAATGAAGTAAATCAATGAAATTAGGGCTTTATAAACATTATTTTTATTGAAATTGCATACCATATCCTTAACTGAGCAATATATGTTTATCTAGAATACTAGAAGTCTTTTTGACGGTTATATATGTTTCATTCAAATGGCCCTCTAAGCAATTTTGGGTTCTTATGTTTAATTTTTTTTTACCACTTACCTATTGGTTGCTTATTTTACTATCATTTCTATTGTTACATGTTAGACTATATATTGCATCATTGGTGAGAACAATTTTTGTGCTCCATTGAAAAAAGTTTTTGATAATTAATCTACTTCTTGATTGGTGTTCTCTTATAGGGCTTGCTATGGTGTATTGAGGTTCATCATGGAAAGCGGAGCCAAGGGTTGTGAGGTCCGTCCAATCTAATCTCTGTTACTGCACTCCTTTTTTCGGTTTTGGAACCACCCTCAGGTGTTGATTTTCCACTGCAAACTTCATTTTAAATGCTGTTGGTATATCTGAATAGGTTATTGTCAGCGGGAAGTTGAGGGCACAGCGTGCCAAATCAATGAAGTTCAAGGATGGATACATGATCTCTTCCGGTCAGCCAGTCAACGAGTATATTGATTCTGCTGTGAGACATGTTCTTTTGAGACAGGTTTGTTCATTTGTTTTTTGGTGCTCTGGACTTCCATTTCTATTGGTGTTGCGGACATCTTTATATGAACAATATTGTGTTTCTTATCAAGCTTTTAATTGTGATGCAGGGTGTACTTGGTATCAAGGTTAAGATCATGCTTGATTGGGATCCTAAGGGAAAGCAAGGCCCTACTACCCCTCTACCCGATCTTGTCACTATCCATCCTCCCAAGGATGAAGAGGAATATGTCAGACCATCAATGGTTGCGACTGATATCGAGGTCCCAGTCCAACTCCCAGTGGCTTAAGGCTGAAATGTTATTCATGTGAAATCTCTAGGATTGGGAGTGCTTAAGCAGTTCTTTTTGTTTCTAATGAAGGATGGCATAGACTTGAGCTGGTTTTTATTTTATTTTATTTTTTTAAATTTTCTCAAATTTTGATGATACTGTAGTCGTTAGTATTGTTTAAGATTTCTTTATTATGAGCAGATGTTTTGATTTTGCAGTTTTATTTGTTAATTTGAGTTTGCTCATATGCGTTTATTTTCCTTAATCGTTTGGCGTTTTGAATGAGCGTATGGCGTTAATGCTTGGATGAGAATGTTCAATTCCGGTAATTGCAGTCTTTGTAATGGAATGTCCGGTGTTCCAGCAATCGTTTGCTACAATTTGATCACAAATGAATAAAACAAGCAAGATGTTTTTGAATTTAATATATAATTTTGTTAGTTATAAACCGTTTAAAGAGATTAATCTACAAAAAAAAAAGAAAAAAGAAAAAAGAAAAAGAAATTAGCTTAATTAAAATGAAAGTGAATTATCTTACTATAAAATAAACAATAATGCAATGGACGGATTAATTCTATCGAATTGTTGTATTAAATTACGTGACATCGGAGTCAAACTTGATTACGTTGAACACTATAACATATCTTTTGGCCGTTCAACAATTATGGACGTTCGTCTATATTTGATGGACGGCCGTACATTACAAATAGACAGTCGTTTATTAATCTGGACGAAATTTTGAACGAAAATAACAATGGACTTACGTCCACCTTAAATAGACGCTCGTCCATAATGACTTGCAATATTTTTAAAATGAGGAATGATTTTTAAAAGAATAAGAATGGACGGCCGTTCGTATCAGGTGGACGACCATTCATTGAATAGTGAGGCAAATAATTTTTTTTTTTATAATTTACAAATTTTTTCCAATCATGCAAATAAAAAAGATATAGTTTGTCTAATACGCTTCTATAAATAAGCGCCAAATTTTTTAGATGAAAAAAAAAAAGACTATTTGTAGCTTCATTTTAAAGCTAATACCTTTCAGCTTCATCGTCTCATCTTTTCTTTTGTGTGTTTTTGCCATAGCTTATTAGTGTTCCACGCGGTATTGGCGGTTTCTTCCTCAATAGCCACAACAACCAACTATTGTGACAAGAAAGTCACTAATATTTTCACAGGAAAGCCACCAATTTTTTACAGAGAAAATCGTTTACGGTATTTTCACAAGAAGGCCACCAATTTTTATAGAGAGAATCGTTTACGGTTGAGAGGGAGATAAATTTTTTTTTTCAGGTTAGAAATATTTGTTGAGGTTCTTAAGAATTTTTGACTTAATTCATTTATTTGGTTTCGTATTCTATTATGGATTGAATATATGATATAATACAAAATAACTGATAGAAAATATTTGTTGGTGACTGTTGTGAACTAGATTTATGAACGGGAAAACTGGTATTGGTTTTGTATAAAATTATGGAATATGTAAGGGTCCAGTTTGCCCCACTTCAATGATGTTGAGGTAAATTGTGTTCGAAACTTTAACTTTTTTGTTAACATGAATTTAAATTTGCTGTATCACATTGTTTCTTATGATGTGTTGTATTAGTACATTCCAATTTTGTCCATATTAAAACCATTAAATCAAGAAAATCAATGTGATGAATTAGAAGATTTGGGATGTGTAGAGGAAGAAGTGGAGCCTCATATTGGAGTAGTGCTTGATTTAGTTGATAGTTTGGTGAAGTATTACAAAAGGTATGGTAATAAAATGGGTTTTGAAGCAATGATACGTACGTCAAAGAAAGGAGATGATGGGGAGATGAGATACGTGACAATGGCATGTTCTTATTCTGGGAAGGAGAGATGTAAATCTAGAAATAACTTAAAAAAGCAACCTGTTGCTAAAATAGACTATAAGAGTCGGATTAGTGCAGCTTTGAATGGTGTATTTCTTGTGTCTTGCTTGAATTACAATATCAACATATATAGAGAATTTACATGAGAAGATAAGTGGTAGCTGTACAAGATAATAACAAGAATAACAAGAATGAGATAACAAGATAAGAAACCCAACGAATATAGAGATAAGCAGTTGCTGAGATTTGAATGAAGTTAGATAAAGATGTTGTGATTTGAATGAAGATATAGATAAGGCTTAACAACCCCCCTCAAGCTGTCGATTCTGCAAGTAGAAGTTGTAGTTTGTCTCGGTGTCATTCAAAGAGTCTGCATCCTAGCGGCTTGGTGAAGATGTCAGCGAGCTGGTCATCACTTGAAATAAATTTAACTTGAATCTTTCCTTGAACAATCAGTTCGTGAATAAAATGATAGTCTAATTCAATGTACTTTGTATGAGCATGAAATATAGGATTAGAAGTTAAGTAAATTGCTCCAATATTATCACACCATAAAGTTGCTAGAGAGGAACACAGGAAACCAAGCTCACTTAGTAAGGAGCGGAGCCAAACCAATTTGGTTGATGCATTTGCCAAAGCCCGATATTCACTTTCAGTAGATGATCTAGCAATTGTGGGTTGTTTCTTTGTAGTCTAAGAGATTAAATTATTACCCAAATGCACAGTGTAGCCATTTGTGGAGCGTTTGTCATTGGGGCAACCCCCCCAATTGCTATCAACAAAACTTTGCAATTGCAAATTTGAATCCTTGGAGAGGAACAGGCCAAGTGAAGTAGTATGGCAAAGATACTGCAACAACCTTTTGAGAGCTTTCTAGTAATCTTCATTAGGACAATGCATAAATTGACATAACTTGTTAATAGAAAATGCTATGTATAGTCGTATCAATGTAATATACTGAAGAGCTTTGATAACTTTGGGGGAGGACTCTACATCCGAGATTGAAGGAGCGGAATATTGACTAAGCAAAAGACTTTTGGCCATAGGAGTGGCACAAGGTTTACTGGCAGACATCCCTGTAAAAGATCCAGCACATACTTCTGTTGGGACAACCGTATACCCTTTTGCAAATAGTGTACTTCTATTCCCAAAAAGTAATGAAGAGTTTCCAAATCGCAGACAGGAAAGACTACTTGAAGCTTCTAAACAAACCAAGAAATTTGTTGTGGATTGGAACCTAGTACAAGAATATCATCGACATAGACCAAAACAAATAATTTTGATTTGTCACTATTCAAAATAAATAATGAGGCATCTGCACGTGAAGCCACAAAACCAATTTGTAGTAGGAATTCAGCAAGGCGATGAAACCAAGCACGAGGGGCTTGTTTCAGGCCATAAAGAGATTTATTCAACTAGCACACAAGGTTTGATTGGACATGATCAACAAATCCAATTGGTTGTTCCATGAATATTTCTTCAGCCAAAAAACCATGAAGAAAAGCATTTAATATGTCTAGTTGTCGTGTTTGCCAACCAAGAGAAGTAGATAAAGCCAAGACTGTGCGGATTGTGGTTGCTTTTACCACCGGACTAAAAGTTTCAGTGTAGTTGAGCCCACTCCGTTGTTTAAATCCTTTGGCAACCAAGCATGCCTTATACAATCAATTGTACCATCCAACTTTCTTTTAATCCGAAACACCCAGTTACTATTTATGATATTTTTGTTGAGGGGTCTGGGTACTAAATCCCATGTTTTGTTGGCAAGGAGAGCATTGATTTTTGCTTGCTTAGCCTCACGCCATTCAACATATGGTCGGGCTTGAGTGTAAGAGGAAGGTTCAGTTTTAAGAAAATCAAGTTTGAGTGACGGGGTTGTTGCTGTGAAAGTTGTATGTCTTTGCATGGTGCTTGGTCTAAGAACCATAGCATGGGCATGTAATAAAGTAGGTGAAGGCGATGATGTGGGGTTAGATTGTGGGGAAGGATTTGTTGGCAGTGAAATAGTATCAAATGGTGGGTCATGTGGGGTAGAATAGGGGAGTGTTTGAGTGAAATTAGAATTAGTAAGAGAAGGAGGAGATAAAGGAGTTGGATTGATACCTGGAAGTCTCGGTGGAACCAAGTGAGAGTGCTTATGCCCTTTTAATTCAAGCCATACTGAAGTTGTAGGCTGCACAGGAGTGGAAGTAGCAAGTTGTGTAATAAAAGGAAAGAATTTTTCATTAAATTTAACATGACGAGCAAGATAAACACGATGATTTTCTAGATCAAGACAACGATATGCATGATGAGAGGGAGAGTTACCAAGGTAAACACACAATTTTGTTCTATATGAAAATTTATGGTTGTTGTAAGGTCTTAAAAATGGGAAAATTGCATAGCCAAAAGGCTTCATGGCCAAGTAATTCGGGGTGGCGTTAAAAAGAACCGAATGTGGAGATTTATTTTCTTTTATTGGAGTAGGCAAAACATTAATGGACATAGCAACAACGTCAAAGGCATAATGCCAATATTTAAAGGGAACATGACTATGAGCAAGTAATGTCAAGCAAGTATCCACTAAATGTCTTATTTTGCGTTCGGCAATGCCATTTTGTTGATGTATATATGGACAAGCAATACGATGAATTATGCCAACAAGTTGAAAGTATTTATTTAATTTTTGGTACTCTCCTCCCTAATCATAATGGAAGGCTTTAATTTGTTTGTTAAATTGTCTTTTGACAAGAGACTCAAAATTATGAAAAATAGAAAATACCTCACTTTTATTTTTAAGAAAATAAACCCAAGTATATTGGCTAAAATCATCGCTGAAAAGAACAACATAACGATGTCCTAAACTAGAGAGCATTAGAGTGGGTCCCAAAACATCAGAGTGAATGATGTCAAATGGTTCTTTGCCTAAATGCTCGACTGAAGCTAAGGGAGGACGAGCTAATTTTCCTAAGAAACATGAGGAACAAACATAATTTGATTTGCTTTGAGAAGAAGGCAAGCCAAATTCCTTTATTATTTTATTGATAGTGAGGGAGTGACGGTGACTGAGACGAACATGCCAATCCTGATCCGTGAGCTATTCACTAGCAAATGCTTGTTTTGGATTCGATGGTTGACGAAGGGCATAAATTCCGTGCTCACTTGGCCCGCGAAGGAGAAGCTTCCGAGTTTTTTGATCCTTTATAGAAAAATGAGAAGGCCAGAATTCAAAAAGGCAATTATTGTTAGTTGTGAATTTTTGGACAGATAATAATTTTTTCACAATATTAGGGACAAGTAAAATATTATGTAAATGTAATTGACCATTAGCTGAAGGGAAAGAGGCACTACCAGTATGAGAAATGTGCAAACCTTGTCC